AAGCTATCTATATTACTGTATATATATGTACACAATCTCTCTCTCACTCACTCTCTCTCTCTCTCTCTCTCTCTCTCTCTCTCTCTCTCTCTCTCTCTCTCTCTCTCTCTCTCTCTCTCTCTCTCTCTCTCTCTCTCTCTATAAATATATATATATATATATATATATATATATATATATATATATATATATATATATATATATATATATATTGCAGATAAATCCAATTGTAAAAATGATTAATGTTTTATCATTCCGATGGTCATTTGGTCAGTCCTACATCCAGTCAGTAGTCCGACGGCCTACCTCCAATCATTCGGATCGATATACAATAAAGAAAAGAATAGATCGCAAAGTAAATAAACAAATCGTCTTAAGATACATTTTTTAAGTTATGAGCATTTCTTAGTGTAGGTTTATGATTTATAACTATAGAATAAAAATGGCTTCCACTTCATTAATTGATAGCTTCAACTTGGTAAGGTAAGGTGAACCACCTGGATGTTGTATTACACCTCCCCCACCGGATTCCATAAACCCCTTCGAGATAGTTATCAAGTTCATTGAAAAACAGTCCAGAGCCGTAACGTCCACCGGCCCGAGGAAGATTACCATAGATTATTAGCCTCGAGGGCAGCGATCTTCACAGTCCGTTTGCCCGCCGGCTGCGAGAGATCACAAGAACAGGAGCGGAGGTCAGGTCTGTTCAACGAGGAAGACTGGCAATCATGGCGTCCATTGTTTAAATAATAGGCATGGCCTATAATAAACTCATTATATTACAGAATATTGCGACATACGAGTTACGTCCTTCAGTATATATACGCCAGTCAAGAAACATAAAGCCCAGCCGGAGCTGAACGCACGAGTTTCGGATTGAGTAATACTTATATTTTTTTCGTCATGGAATCCATTTTTAATATTAAAAGAACAAAGAAGTAAGACATTTTTGAATATATTTTTATTTTAAAGCAAATTTATATGGAACAGTGGTTCTGATGTAATGATAAACACTGAAAGAACACTTTAATGAGCATTAAAACTTCATTTTTTATTTCTAATTTGTTTTAATGAAATAATTGTTATTTTCTTTGTTTTTCAATTTATCAGGAAAAAGAATAAGAAATTTAGAAGATTTTTTTTTTATTTACTAGATACGGGTTTTATCTTAACGCAATCGGGATTTCATAAAATACAGTAGTGAAATCATCAATTTTTTGATCAATAAACATTTATATTTATAAAAACAAAATGCTAGAAGTAAATGACTAGATAATTCAAATAAGGAACTCATATCGGACCTTTTTCTACAGAAGATCTCTTTCAACTCCAGATTAGCAATATTCCGTTAACCATCCAGGGTGTGAGTGATATTAGTAATTCCGGTAAATTGTATTTATTTTAGATTGAAACTTTTTTTTAATGTTAAATGATATCATCATAAAAATCCATCTTAAGATGGGTTAGTTGAGTTATACAATTCAGTGATATTAGTTGTAGGCTTATAATTCTGTCGGTGTCTAATAAACTCACAAAAAATGTTGGAATACCACTTCCACTGTACTTATGCAAGAGGGTCTTTTGTGAATCAAAACTAATTTAAAAAAAATATTTTATTTACTTATATATTCTACACATACACAACACAATAAATCGTAATAATGGTTGTATACTTACGGTCACTAGACTACTTTACTTTTCTCTGTTATGGGTAGCTCAAGGGTTAAACGTACTTTGCAAATAACAATTCGAATCCTCCTGTGATTTTTCAATTTTAAATACTTCCTAATACGAATTAAAATACTGAGATATGCAGGTTGTTCCGCAAGTAGAGGGGAATTTTTATAGGAATAATGGTAGATCTCAAGAGCTACAAAAAAGTTCAGAATTAACAATGGGCCAGTTCTCAGCACAACAGTAGCCAAATCCAAGTTTATTGTTTTTTTACGTACGCCATACTTTTTGACGAATAGGAAGCTATAACTGAAGAAATCTTTAATTTAAGTAATTAGTAATTATTTCACTGTAAGCTCGATAAAATTTTCTTCAAACGAAAATGGAATTTGTCATTGTTAAAAACATTTAAAGAGGAATTTTGAACGGCTAAACTTGGCTATGTTCTGTTTTTAAAAAAATCATAAATTATTGTGTTTTTTTTATCATTATCCAATTATGCTACAGATACCCCACTTCATAGAAAACTTCGTTAAATAAGCACCAAGTTCGTATTAATTAAATTGAGGTTTATTTGGTAAATTCTTCAGATTCACCTCAAGCTGAGTAAAGACATTATGTCAACTTCTATCCAGTCACCCAATAGTACTAGTGTTTTCAGCAAATATGACTACAATTAACTGTTGCAGAGCTTTTATTTATTGTTTTTTCACGATGTGGGATATATTTTTAATTGCACAAATACACTTTTTATTCATAAATAAAAAAAATTGCAATAATAATTGTTTTAATATTTTTTATATAAAGTATTTACGAAACTGTGCTTTCATGCTTCCAGATCTGTCATAGAAATTGCTCCGTATTTATTATTTCTAGTATTAAATTTACCGTTAAAACGAAAAAAAAAACTGTTGATTGCTTCAATTATTTTCATAAAAACGTATATCTTCGGACCAGAAACATGAAATTTGTCACTTATAAATACGGACCAACTCCTATGGTAGAAATACGGGAGAAAGATACAATTTCGTTGTAAACACTTGACTTAAAAAGTTTGTTAAATACATTTGTCATTAATATTATTTTTTTTATTTATAAGTAATAAGTGTATTTAGGAAATTATTTTTATTATAATATATCTCAGATCATGAAAAAAAAAAAATAGAGCTTTGCAACAGCTAATTATAATCAATTTTGTTGAAAACACAGGTTAAGGTGACAAGATGAAAAATTAATTTACATAACTTGGGGTGAATCTCAAGAATTTCTCTAATAAACCTCTTATAAATCTTATTAAACGAAAAAGTTTTTCTGAAATTGGGTAATGATAATAAAAATCGCCAATAATTCATGATTTTTTTTTACAAATCGAACTTTAGCCAAGTTTAGCCGCTCAAAAGCCCTCTATAAGTGGTTTTGACAAAGACAAGCTCTATTTTCATTTGAAGACAATTTTATCTAGTTTACAGTGAAACAGTTGTCAATTACTTAAATTAAATATTTTTTAGCCATCGCTTCATGTTCGTCAAAAACCATGATTTACTTTAAAAAACTTTTCTGCTGAGGATGTTGGCCCAATGTTTATATGAACTTTTTTGAAAGTTTCTCTCTGCTTGAGGGAAACTAAGTTTTCTATATAATAAGCACTAATGCTTAGATGTTCATATAAGCTGATGTTTAATTATGAAACAAACCTCTTAAGAAAGACAAATAGAACCAGGAGAAAATAGACAGGAAGCAAAACCAATCGCGGAGATAAGAAGTAAGGATGACAAAGAGCTGGGAAAGTTCCCTAAGGAATGGACCAGGATGCTCCAGGACAATCGGCAAAGACACAAAGAGTTCATTAGCACTCTATTGGCTACAGAGCGCTTCCTACTCAACATAATCCGTGCCCCGGCATCGCATTGGCACCGCTACGGTGGCTTTGGTGGACAACTACTACCTTCAGTTAGCAAACCAAGAATGGGATAGTGAAGTTTTTTAAGATTTTGTTGGTGGCGATTAATTAATTGTGAGTGTATTAGCCCTAGGCAAATGAAGGTGACAATAGGCTCTTACATAACCTCCTTGGCATCCTAACATGCATCTTTAGCGTAGCACTTAGTGCGGTAGCAACGAAGCGGTCGCGGTCATAATTTCACGATAAACAAAAATAACGAAAAAGCCGTAAAAGTGCGATGGAAATACAAAAAGTGTATCTGTTATGTCTCTCCCTAATGGTTTTCGCAGTGACCAACATTAAAAAAAAATATAAATTACAAAAATGTGTTTTCATAATTAAAATTATATTGACTCTTTTTTTTTTTTTTTTTTTTTTTTTTTTTTTTATATTGTGTAAAAGCATCATTTCCAAAGAACTAACTCCTCAAGGTACAACTGTAAAATCTACATTTTAAGTTGCGGATCGTCTTTGCAAAAGCATTAAGCATATTAGACCTACATATGTTATAGAGATCTTTTTTTCTTTCTCTTCCACGGTAAAGCATTAGAGAATACCGAGGTGATAAACAATAAATGTTTGGCCAAAACGAAGAAGGTTCCTATGCTCAGAAATCCAACAGCTTGAATTGATGGACTTGAAAGGGAACATTTTGCGTCCATAGAAAAGATGCAAGAAACCATGACAACGAAGTTAAACTGTATTTCAAAAGAGGAGTTTTTGAAAGGCATCAAAAGGTTAAAAGATCGCACCAACGTGCTATTACTTCTAAAGGAGGCTATTTTATATAGTTGAATTTATTTTTATTTTTTGACGTCTTCCACTGGTTCTACACTTCGTGAATACCAAAACAAGGCATATTGCTGGACTATAAATATAATAGAAATTAAAAGTTAAAAATTATTAATGTTAAAATTAAATTTACATTAACAAAATGAGCCCGTGTGGATAAGGAAATTCATTATAATTAATTTTTTTTTAAACTATTTTTGTTTCAAAAAATATTTGTCCAAAAATTGTTATCAGCCATGCATCAAATGTTTTTATTATAATACATAATTCCATCCTATAATTATAGAATGGGTTTTCATTGCACATTTTCATTACATGGATCGCACGATACAAAATGATAAAAAACAAAAGATCAATAACCAATTCATAGAATGATTCTTGTAAGCGATTGAAACCTTAATGAAATATTTTTATAGTTCTCCAAAAACCAACTATATCTTAGTGTAGCTTCAAAACTAAACAATCATTTATTAAACAGTAATAAATAAAATAATTAACTCATTGTAATCACTGCTATGACACAACAGGAAGAAATTCACGACAGAAAACGGTCAAATCACGAGCTCCTATACAACACCAAAGACCAAGGGGTCTATTTTACAGAAAGGACACGTTTTTCTGTAGTTGCCCCTTGAACCATGGAGCTTTCATCGAGTGATAAGGTGAAGGAAACACGTAAGACGTGACATCCCTGATCCTCTTCCGCTACGGTACCGTTCATGGCAGGAGACGATTCTTTCGAAAGAAAAGCGGTCTGGAATTCTGTTCCAACCATTTGGAGATACGAAAGAAATGAGAACTATAATAAATTCAATATATATATTTGTAATTGTGACTAGCAGTTAACTCATCTATTTCTTTTTCCAAATTTAATCCACCTGCTATATACAGATCAATATTTTCAAAGGATATTTAATAATTTTACTTTTTGTAAAATAAAAACAAAATATTTTATTTTATTTTCCAATTGGAAAATTTCAATCCAAGAACACATCACTTCATGGCATACGATCGCATGCTGGAAGAAAAATAAGGTAATTCAGTTGAGGAAGGTTATAATCAAACAGCTAAATACGACGCAAAATTCATACGTATACCAAACAAAAATAATAAGAAAATAAATCATAATTAGTATAAAGAAAAAAAAGGAAGAAATGAAAATGCACATCAATGGAAGGTTATCATAAAAAAATGGCTGATCAAGCAAAGCAAGTTTTAGAAACCAACAAGCTAAATTTATCCAAGACGTTAAACTTTTTAGAATTAAAGTTATACAAATTTTTACAGTCAGTACCATAATTAACAGCATTATCTAACTTCTCTGCAATATCCATAGACTCAAATATCTTTCTTTTAGCTATTCTTCTCTTTCTGAAAGTAAGAGAATAAGCGTGGTTGGAACTCTCCAATTATAAACTAACATAAATTTTTTATTTCTTGGAGCGTTTACATTAACTTATATTTCATTATTTCTTTTGATATGAATCTATACGGTAAAAAGTTAGGTACTTTACACTTTTTTATCGGACTTTACGGTTATCTATCACACCTTTGCTGACAAAGCCCGTTGAGGTTTTTTATAATCTCTTGAGGGAGCACATCGAGCCATGAATACAGTTTTGATCTGAATTTAAGCAATCACTTATAATTTTATCAAATAAACACAGAGAATAGGGTGCTCTGATAAACTTTTTTTTTTTAAATGGCATCGTGAGAATTATTGACCTACAAAGGTTAAGTTAAGCAGATGGTTTATTGAGAATTGGTGATACTCCAAGAAAGTGAGATTCCAAGGATAATATGAAAGATTTGAGCTGCTACATTGACTGAACGCTACTGATAGAACCAAAGGTAGTAAAAATGTAAAAATATTCCATTTTATTCTATTTCTACTAAAGGTGACTAAAGTAGTCTGCTGCTGTGAAAAAACAGAGGAAAATAAAAGACGAAACTATACTAATAAAAAACAAACTAAATTTTCACATTCGATATTTTGCACTAAGATTAGCGATAAACTACTTTCATTCCATTCAGACCAAGTAGATATTTTGTAATAAATATAACAAGATATGTAAAATAATTACAATAAAATACGAATTATTTCTTTTGTTGGGTAGTTTCAAGTTATACTAACGAGATCGGCAAATGTGACTTCCTTTGTGATTTATTTATTTACTTCATTTATCACATAACAATACGCACGTTTCGAGCAGCGGTGCCCATTCCTTCCAAGGTTGATGGCGCATGAACCTTCCCCCATCGTTCTCATGATGTTCTATTGTTCTCCTCTTCTTAAAAACAGTGTTAACAAAAGTAGAATTGAAAAATTCGTAGATTCTATACAATTACACATTATACAGTCTGCTCTATGCTTTCACTTATATTTTAATTTGAAGCTTTTCATATCGAAAATGTACTATTTTACATACGAACACTAGCGGATCCAGGATTAATTTTGGGGGGGGCTTCAGCCCGAAAGCTTTTTTTTTCATAAAAATAACGATAATTAAATTGGAAAATAAGAAAGAAACTAACTACCTATCTGAACTGGTGTTTAAGTGATGCCTAAAGCCCTTTTAAATGTAATTATATGAACAATTATGCTTTAAGAGATAATTTTTAAATATTTTTTTCGATAAAACATGGTTATATTTTACCATTTTGGGGGGGAGGCTTCAGCCCGAAAGCCCCCTCTCCCTCCCCCCCCCCCGTAGATCCGCCCGTGCATACGAATACGTGCCATGCGCCATGAAACCTCCTTCTGGACACCTCTGGTTTCGAGAATATCCTCCCATCACAAGAACTATTTAGAGTTCTATCAGACTCTCCTGTATACAACTTTCTTGGTATGCTCCCTTTGTCATAGCAACATTGTTTTCAGTTTTTAAATTTAACACAATTAAGGAAAACATTTATTTTAGCTAACAATTAGTTGCATTTAAAACCATTATTTCATAGTAGGGATAGTAGATATTGATTAAAAATAACTTCATTACGACGTACTAAAATACCGACTATTAGACAACGGATTCATTTTGAATCACTTAAATTAATAGCCTAGCCTAGAGTCTGAACTAGATTGCCTGCCTAGCAACAAGCTAGGATTTGATCCATCCGATGTGGCAACGTTAAGCCATCCTGTGAATACAAGGAGGATACAGTTGTGCCGATATAATCACCTCGCCAACTGGCGTAACTAAGAGCCAATAGCGGCTAATGTCGGTCCTAGAAGAGCTATCATCTCCTAATGATCGGCTACCATTTGATCTCTTACCGCAAGCTCTTGCAGCAGGTAGCCCAAAGACCAACGTGCTCTCCTGACCCGGAGTTTGCACAAATCACGATTCGGCGAAGGCCGCTATGGAAATATGTTGAGGATTGTGCCAGAAATCTACAAGGACGATTCACTTTCTGTATATCAACCTGTGGACCAAAGAAGCGCGGAACGCAACGCCATGATGTACTGAATTGATTACTAGGCTTGTATCCAAACATATAAGGCCTTTTAATATTCCTTATTATTATTATTTATGAAATTTACAACTGTACATTTAATATACATTCAGCAAATGTGATACAGATAAATACATGACATGACAAGGCTTGTATCTACCCATTGGTAGCACTCTAATATAATATTCCTAAAATCCATTTTTAATTCTGAATATTCCTACAAGGATGAATTTTTAAGGAGATTGTTATACTGATGTTGTTTGTATATTATACTTTTTTCATTTTTTAGTAATATTTGTTGTTAGCCACATATATAGGCTGATTATAACAAAAGATTTATTACAAACTAGAGGATTAAAAAACAACCTTTGAGAATTAATTTTGTAAGACTACAATCTTCCCTCCAGAAGATCAGAACCCTTGTAAAAATATTTAGGTCTGAAAATTTAATATATTTGAACAATCTACACTAATCGATCAATCATCAATCGACAATTTATGTAACAGTCAATAATTACCATTTATTAATCTCCTTATTATATTATTTCCAAATATAGGGGGTTTCAATCTTTTTCATTTTCCATCCCTCATCCTACTGATCTATCAGTCTCCTCCCAATATGTTCTAAAGCTTTCCGAAAAATCAATATACAAAAGATTGGTTGACATACTGACGGAGCAAAAAGTAATTCCCGATTCATAACGATAACCAACCACCAACTATCGACCAACACATATGTACTTTCTACCCTCGATTTCATCTCAAACTACACAACAACTGACTTATAGACGACATGACTATGACTGACATTCACATCAGAGGTCAACTAAAAAGGAACTGGATGAGAGATCTCCTCCCCTGAATCAAGCAAGTTAACAACGACCAAGAAGAAGTTATGCTGGATACTATCCTTCCTCATCCCTATAATGCCAATCATTTAAGTTATCACAAAAAATCTGCTCATTGTCACTACCATGAGAGATGTAGATAGGTATTTGAAGTTTAAAAAAAATTAGGCGGAAAAAATATTAAGACTCTTCAAATGTATTTATCAAACATCAAGTCAATGTTTTATTTTTTTTATGTTGGCTATTTTTTTTCAAGTAATATTATTATTTTAAATGCATTAAAAATATTATTTTTTATGTTGGTTATTTTTTATCAAGTAATATTATTATTATAAATGCCTAAACTAGTTTTCATAAAAATTTATATCTTGAATCGATCCTCACAACAGATAGTGCGCCGACTTTAATAATAAAGTAGTTATAAAGTCTTATATGCTATATCTAACATCTATTAATTTTTTTTTCTGTCATGATGATGTGCTAACCTGTGACTGATTATTTACAATATTTTAAGAAATTCAAGGCATTTTTCTTCCAGTACTTATTACCTCCACAATAATTAACCATATTAAAACCTCAATGCATTCACGGCTATATTAGTATTTTTATAAACATATTTCTATGTTGAATTAATTTTTTGTTTTATTAAGGAAGATTCTGAGAAAAGTTTAAAAAATACTCATAACATAAGTGAACCACTGTTATATTGTAGTTACTAAACTAATTTATTCGACTTTTTCAGAGATAATAAAAAATTTTGAGGTTCATAACAACCCCGCTATAGGATATTCCATAAACAATGAATAACTTCATTCTCCTATTCAAAATATATCCCAAGAAAATTATCTGACAATTTTCTACTTTTCCCTTCTTTTTTTTCTGTTGATGGCAATCTTCTCCAGAAGAAAACATGCAATTTTCTGGCAATTTCCTAAACAACTTTCCTAGTATATCAGCCTTATTTAGCGATTGCACATGTTAGCAATGACTTATTATACGGATATCAAAAAGCTTTTTATATTTAATATTTAACAAAAATGTTGTACATAGATCCGATCATAAAACCTGAAAACAGTAGCTGATTTTAGCATTAAAATGTAATTATAGCTATTTCAATTTGTAACAGTAATCTAGGCCTAAACAAATAAAAAATTATTTTTGTACATAATTTTTTATAGAAATACAATTACATTTCTGAACATGTTCAAAAGTAAATATCATTTAGAAGAAAATTGGTGTACTTCTAGCATTATTACTTTTTGCCTAAGTTTCATCTTTTTCAGACGTAAATGTAAATAATACCTTGAAATTAACCTGTAAATATATTTTATTAACTCATTATTTATTATTATAACTCATTAGGATATGTGAGTTTTTATTACTTTAGAAATATCTATTACAATAGAAAGTGTACCTATAGAAATGAAAGTTGAAATGATTTAAAATATTCCACTCCATTTCCAGATTCAACCTGTTATTATCTGCAGTATCTATTATCTATCCTATATCTATCGAAAATTATTTTCAATATAGAATGTTAAATATTAAAATACAACTTAATAGAACTTTATTTCAGCAGTGGCAACATGAATATTGTAATAGTAAATAATATTTTTATCTCCTCTCGCAACTATCTGAAAACATTTAACAACACGAGCAGAACTTTAAATACAAGTGAATGTTGTTGCTATGGATATTGAAGTCGTGACAATTCGGGCAGTTGACATTTTAAAAATAAATGAACATTACATTATCTTACTTTCTACTAACCGTGGATTCGAAATAAATAATCTGAAAATTTCTTTGAAATATTTTTACTAGATACAATCCTCAAGTAAACTGCCAATATCCAATCATTTTTATTCGCCAAGAACAATTACCCACTTTCTACAGGACGGAAAAGCTACCCCTTTGGTAACAACTCGATTGAAAAGTACAATTTTCCAGGTTAAAGGCCACAAAACCAGAAGCAGAAAATTCCAACAGCAGTCAAAAAGCAAATCGACCGTCTTCTGTTACTTAAGCTCGTGCCAATCATGAAAGCAAAAATAACTTCCTACCAGAGCTCTATTTAATAGAATTGTATCGTATAAACAAAATTGCAGCGATTTCAATTTCTCGAATGGTAAATTATTAATCTAAACAGAAAAAAAAAAAAACTTTCAATAAACATTATTGTCTAGCAAAGTCAGGGTATTACAATAAGCTTTTGAGGTGGATTTTGAATGGAGCCAGAGACCTAAAGAATGCATTTGTGTATTTCGGTCATATTTATCAATGCAAAAATCCAAAGAAACACAAACCATATTTGTTATATCGACTGTAGGCAATAAAACCCTTCTAACTCCACCAGACTATTTGAACCACCTAACTCCAGTCTCTGAGTTCTATAGACCATGAGAGATTTAAAAGTACTTATAATTAATTACAAATAAGCGAGGATCGTACTACATAGTAAAAGTTATAGACACTTAGATCTCTAAGATATAGACATCTTATATGGATTAAAACTTTATTTTTCCCCTCTAAAATTTATCAAAATAGGGTTACGAGCTTTTTATTGTCTACCATCGATAAATTTAAAGTAGTCACACTAATTGTAAGTGGAAAATGTTGCGATTGCGCTGAGGGAAAGATCACTAATTTAATTTTATAAAATGTTAATGAATTGTTTGAATAATTCGACGATATATATCTAATTAGGAGCGGGGTAGCTCAGTGGCACTAAGCTTGCAATGCACAAGGTTTCAGGTTCGAATCCCGGCTCATGGCAGAAAAATTATTTATTCTGTTTCATTGGCCGTGGGGCGACTCTGGGGTAGGGAGACCCTTGTGGGGCACACCCAGTCTCTACAAAGTGGGTACCCTTAATTAAATAATTGATTAAGAGGAAAAATCTGGCGGTTCAGCGTGATCCTTGCCCGATCCCCTCCACACACAACCTTTGGCTTTGATACAGTACTTTCCCTTGAAACGAACCCAATACCCTTCATGGGCTGTAGTGGTACAGGTTTTTTTATTATATATATATCTAATTATTTCAATATATAATCGGATCTAAAGCTATAAAATCAGTAAATGTATATACCTTAATGATATAATATCAAAACGTTTTGTTTTTGGAATCTCAAGAGATACGCATATAACTCAGTATTACAGCAAGTTGAAGTGGCTCTATCCATCCAACCGCCATCTGTACCTCCTTGCTACCTTTCTATACATAGCCATGAGAACTCAGCGACCTTCCTATATTTTTCATAGGCTACAATTTAAATATTCCATTCAATCCCGTCCCACTAGATCCCGTACTTCTGACCTCAATCCACCTCCTCACCGAACTGCTGCGTTTGATAAATGCTTTATAATTCCAGCCGTCTCCATCTGGAATACCATCCCTCCCGATATCTGACATGCATAATCAGTTTTCTCATTTAAATCTCTCCTTTTTAAGCACCTACTTCTTTCCCAACCCGATTGATCATGAAAAGTAGATAAGTTTCCCCGGAAATGGTTTTGTTTACTTATGCTATTTTATTTTCACATGTTTGTATTATATATATATCTGTATGTATTTAGTGTTTTTGTTTTGTTTTTCTTCCAATATTTTAATTTTAATGAGAATTGTAATTATTTAATTTAATTTTATGACCAAACAGGCATTTCCTCTGTATCTATAATTTGTCCTAAAGGGACAGCAGTCCCAGGATGATAAAAATCTATTTTCATTTCATTTCAATATCTTAAACATATTATATTTTACTCATCCATGAAGTATTTTAATGTTCCACTTCTTCTTTAACAAAAGTAAGATAAAATAGCTTTTAAACATTTTCATTAACTCGATTCGTTGGATAATCCACCATGGATACTTTTTTCAAACTTAAAAATCTTTATATATTACTTCTGAATGTATATATATACATTTTTTCTGGTGTACAGTATATAATGTATCAATTAGTAATTATTTTTTAATTTCAAAACATTTTATTTTTTAAATTCATTAAATCATTCATGTTATTTCTATTCATATAAATGTGTCTTCTATTAAACACTTTTTGGAATATATGTTAGTGTGTTTTAATTACATTAACTTTTACTTTTAGATCTTTATTACTGAAGTTTATCACTTTTTAAATACATTTTCGATTTTGTTTTTAATCAACCGATAAAATAACATACATCCAGAAAGGACTAACTAATGCTCCCTGAGAATGCAGACTTTTGTCTTTTGTCGTTACCAGATGTTTAAAGCAATGGTTAAAAGCCTTTGTAAATTTATGGTAATTCAGAGAAGGAAAAAGCTTAAACTTAAATTATAAGTATAAGGAAACGCAATAGTTAAACCAGGGTAGATCATATTTATAAGCCGATGGCTTACTAAATATATGTATAAAACCGTTGCTTATCAAATATAATCGAATGGAATTTGTGCTCCTCTATTCTATTCTATTCATTCAACATTTTTTGAATACTTATTTTATTAACTCACTACAGCATACAACTCCTTTCTAATGACCTAAAAAAAAATGCCCCAATACATTTTAATGGCTGTTGGAGAAATGTATACATATATATTTCGCCACGAATGTGAAAGTTTGTCCCGAAAGGAAGAATTCTAATGAGGTCGTTAGGGGCTAACTGCCGAAGACACGGAAGCAATTATCAAACAGATTTGGACACGGAGAAGGAGGTTGTACTGTCACAGGGGCACTGGTTAGATGCGGTTTATTGTGGACTGGATCGACTGTGACAGGACAGGATTGGACGGGCATTGAAACATCCTGCCGATCGTGCTCTGACCTTTGGAACGTCTTAATATCCACAAATATATGACCTTTAGCTCATCGTTTCAGAGCACATTGCGGCTAACGGATCCGTTGTCCTAAAAAAATATTTTGAATGACTATGCTGCTAGTCCGTGGTACCGATCCCTTTTCATCAAATTATTAACACCCGCCTGAAACTTCGTGAATAGTTCATCTCGTCGTTACCTACAACTTTTTTATATATAAAAAATCTCGGAATTGGATCGTTTTTAAAGCTGGAGATCGGCAAACTTCGTCTATTTAATTTGGTACTAAAAACTCGTATATACCCATTCGCTTTCCACTTGAATCGTAAGATAATTTGATCACAAAGTCAAGAAAAAAGATGACCTACAAAGATACTGGGCCGTTCCTTATTTTTGTAGGCCACGTTTTTTCTCGATTTTGTGGTTAAATTACCATATGATTGTAAAGCAAATGAATATTAACTAGTTTTTAGTACATAATTAGATAGACAAAGTTTGCTGATCTCCACATCGAAAACGCCCCTATTCCAACCAAGAATTTTGGTAAATATAATAGTTTGTAGGTTACGATGAGATGAAGTTATAATTACAATAAACGAAGCTTCAGGCGGGTGTTAATAATTTGATCTGTACCACCGACTATATCTCAGCCTTGATAATATCTGTCAATTAAACATCATTTCAAAACGAGAAACTGATAAAAAATGATATATAATATCTGAAAAATTCTGAGTTTGTAGGGCAATGGTGTCCGACTGTAGCAAAAATTAATCTTTTCCCTTATCAGCCTTGGATGGCTTCTATGGAAGAAAACATCATTTTCCTAATTTTCGTTTTACAGCCTTTCTGGGAAACGGCTGTCCCCTTCCTACAAATCCCATTACATGTAATATATAACTAAAAATAAATTAATAATTTAAAGTAAAATTCAATAGATAAATTTGTACAAAATTAGCTTAAATAAAAGTACAGAAATAAAATTGTCAAGAAAACAAATAAAACATCTGTCCTTGAAAACATTGCTGTTCATATATTTTCCTTCTATTTATTTTATCTTTGTTTAATAGGCCTTCAAGGATCACTTAAAGGTAATAACTTGCATATAGACCCTCAAAATGAAGTCTTAATAACACCAATCAAGCATGAAAACAAATCTTTAATCATTTCATAATATCGGCTTTGAATATTGAATAATTTGAAGAATTTAAAATCTGTCAGCTTTAAAAAATCAGCTCCAAACATTAAACGAAATCTGAAACCAAACACGAAAAATCTTTTGTTTTCGAAATTGCTATATTTATCGTGCTACTTAAATGATATATCCTATGATAAGAAAACTCTAGTTGACTCAACAGAGAAAAATATTGCAAAATATGCCACGATACGGCATTTAACCTGTCCTGGAAGGAATGCAAAATAAATGAGTGACGTTTCAATCCGGCGAGTAATAGGTGAATACATCAAGGACGAAAGAGAGAAAATACCTCTCCTTTCTTTTTATATAAAGTTCTTAATCCTCAACATATCTTTATCAAAAGTTAAAATTGATAACTACTTCATAAACTACTGATAAAGATGTTTTAATCCAACAAACTGACTACAAGAACCTAAACTACTATCTCAATTTTCTATCAAACTACTCCATTCTCCATGTTTTCATTTTACTATTTATTTTATTCTCATTTCTTATATAACTTTATATTTCTTTTTTATGTTTTTACATTTTATTCTAAGATTCCCAATGTAACACTTTTGTCACCTCCTTTTTGATTATGCCTACTTCATCATTCCACACTATGTAACAGTCTGTATTATTTATCTCTTAGTTCTTAGTCATTATTCTAACAATTTTATTTTACTTTATATCTATCTATTTTATTTTTATTTTATCTAGATCTAATCTATTTTATTTTCTCTTTTTTTTGTTATTATCTTTCTTACCATCATTACTTAAGTTTCTCATACCTTGTTATCTGGTTATTTTCTTAGCCCTGATGATGGCCTGAACTTCAGGTCGAAACGTCGGCAGATGTAAAAAATAAATATTATAATTTATTTTTGCCTTCCTTTTTTGACTGAGCACCCCAACTATTCTTCTCTTCATTATCCACGACAGTCAACCAATTACCAATTATTACTAAACTACTACTATATTAAGTACTAGCAAGAGCAACTTTCGAGAAATTGTTTCGCTAAACTACTTTTTTTTAGTTTAATTATACAATTTGAATTAACGATCTTTCGAAACAAGTGAAATAGAAAAGGGACCCTTTTACATTAAACGATCCAAGTATGGATAAAGCCATAGTGGGAGCCCTATAATTCAAATATCGGTATCCATCTTCCATTTTCAATTTATTGCATAAATTAAAATAAGGCCACGACATAACGAACAAAATTAAAAACGTGCAAATGATTCAATAGCGTGATCAGAGGCTCCTATTACCTCTAAGGCAATACGCCATGATCCCTTCCCCAAGAACTCTCTTCTTAAAAGTGTACGTAGAATTATAAAATTGTAATTTTTATACAATTATACTTGTTATGGTCATACATATTTTCTCTTTTTATTTTATTTTTTTCCCCTTCCTCCCATTTTTTCCTCCCATGCTATACGTGTTTTTCTCGGGCTAGAGTACAGGGCGGGCGAATTATGTCAGAGTTAAAGAATATGTCTCGCAAGAATATGCCTTTTCTCCAAATTCATAATTCCGTAAAAATACGCTCAATCCCTCAAAAATTCATAACGCTTCTAACATGTTTCACAAAAAAATATTATGTGTCCCACCATCTTTTGGGCACTTCTGCTTGTGATGACTTATTTCATCACATTTTAAGCAAGACGGATCATACCCATTTCTTTTATTTCTTTTTTTTTTCATGTGAAATAAACAGCGAGTAAACTATATTGCCAATATAAATAATGAAAATGAGAGAAGTTTATTTGTAATGCTTTCTGAATTTATATCGAAGCATTGAGTAACTGAAGGAGTTGGACTGTTAGAGTTTTATTTTTTTAAAATAATAACCTGTATCCTACAAGCTGATCTGAAATCGTTTGGCACTTAAAAGAAAAAACAAACAAAAAAAAAGCCTTAAATATTAGTGAAGCAAAGTAAAGTAGTTCATTTTTCAAGAAGAAACGGGGCTCATAAATTGTTGCCTACAATACCTATCTATATGTTTGACCTGCTACTCAGCCAAATATCAGTCTGTAAAAAAAGGTCTTCTTTCATTTATATGCTATATACACTGGAAACCTGCGGCTTAGAGGCCACATGTGGCCCCCATGAGCTAGTTGCGGCACTCATTAATTTTTGAGTAATTTTAATAATCCAGCAATAGAATTAGTTAATATTTAATCACTTAGACAACAGAAAGTTGGAAATTAAAAGTTTGAACAGACGTGTGTAAATTGTATTTACTTAAAAACAAACTTTAATAACAGTAAAAAATGTGAAAAAAACTTTACGGCCTCCGTTATATCTGTCTATTCTCCATCTATTCTATATATGTACACTCAATACATTCAATATGGTATTTTTTTAATAATAAACACAAAAAAGTAAAGAAATAACCAAAAATCTATATTATATTGGTGTTAGATGAATGAAATCATTACGAAAAAAATGGTGGATTTCATGTTACACAATACTTCAATTCAGATCAATAAATTGCTCGATAGAAATTATTTTAGAGTTCCGTAATAAGAAAACATAGAAGAAAGTAAATACCAGGTTCGTGAGCTATTATATCTCCATTTCTATTACAGAAATTCTACCGCAGCCTCATTACAGATCCTCGTATCCCAGACCCAAATTATTGCGCGAATTTCTATTGTACAGACTCTCCCACAGATTTCACGACCATCGTAAACGGCAATGACGAGGATTTGTCCACGGCAGTATAGGATCTTCTGACTTATTTTCTGTAAGAAGTAATGAATTCTAATGACGAACTCAAATGCGGATTTAATCTCATTTATACTAATTCGTGACAAGCAGAGAGATGAAGTCACCTTTCCAAAACAGGATCCTTATTAGACTATATGCAAACAAACTGCTGATATATGATATGATCTCAACCAACTTTTTGAAAATGTAGGTATATATATATATATATATATATATATATACATAGCGTCCCATAATTAAAGGGAAATATTTAAATGAGTGATAGAAGATCTGAAGAACTACAAAAAAGTTTATATAAACTAGGTTTTAATTTCGCGCAGAAAAACTAAAAGTTTAAGTTTTGTGGTAAAGTACGTCACGTTTCCTCTATCATAGGAAGCTATAACTTAAAAAATATTCAATTTAGGGGATTGACAATTGCTTCAGAGTAGACTAGATAAAATTTATCACAAATGCAAGTAGATTTAGTTTTCGTATAAACTATTTTTTTTTTTTTAAACTTTTATTATGATATTTACAACAGTATTAGTATAAATACATCAAGTAAATTTGTACAGAGAAATATTATTACATGAAACACGCTTGTTGAGAAACTACCCACTGGTAGCACTCTAATAAACTATTTAAAGGGGATTTTCAAGCGGCTAAAGTATTTTAAGTATTGATTTTCATGAAATCGTGGATCATTTTTTCCTGTGGCTGATAACGTAATTATGAATATGCACTTATTAAAAAAAAAAAGGATATTTTTCAAACATTTTTTATCTAGTGTGATCATTTTTTTTCTTTTTTTGTTTATTTAATGAAATTTACAACTGTATACAAATACAACTAGTAAATATGCGCAAATTATAAATAATGGCATGTACAGGCTTGAAGAGATACTACCCAGTGGTAGCACTCCCTAAATAATTTTAAGTGAGAAGATCACGAGGCCATCTCCTTTTCAGACGCCTAGGAGGATTATCAGGGATCGAGGAAGAAGCAAGAGTGGAAACAAGCGGATTTGGATGGGACTGAAGTTTATCATGAAAGGACAGATATCTGGCTCGAGCTAAATCAGGGA